GGGGTCATGTGATAAATTTTCGGGTTTTATGTTCTGGGGTCGATTACCCGGGTTTACTGACCCCTTTCGGAGCACTAGGTGTAGGTTTATACGTATAAAATAAATTCTACCCTAAAATTGTAAGAAATTCCAAATCCACTTAAATTCGTTCCCACTTACAACATATATAACAAATAGTGTAAATCATTCCTGGTACGTTAGTACAAATATCAAGGAAGATCGATTTGGTAATCGCAATGCAGGTTCGCCACAGACCTCATCTGATGTTTATCATGTTAGAAATTCCGCGCTGGTGCCCGTAAATATTTCGCAAATCGTGCTATAATAATAGTTATAGATTTTTCGTGGGTACTTTTAGCTGTTAACTTGCAGATCATTGTTCATTGTGTAATGTAAAATCCTGAAAAATTGCGAGAAATTAGACGATTTTTCGATTCTAAGGGAATTATACAGATTTCCAAATATATATAGATAACATTACTGTAATCGAATATATGGTTGATAGAAAATCTAGAATTTCCGAAATTACCCGCTATCGTTATCACGAAATTCGTGGGGTCACACCTTTTTGCAAGCCGCTATAGTACAATGGTACAGATACGTAGTTATAATCCAGTAATCAGTGTTGGAAATCTAAATTGATTTTAATGTTATTGTTTTTAATAAAAAATTGTTCTCGGATTTCCTACACTGATTATAATTGAATACAAAAAAAAATTTTTTTTGCAATAGAATTTATTTATAGCTTATTAATATATTTATATACGTGATTAAATAAACTCAGTGAATTATCGCACAATACCCTTAGAGAGCTCGTGACGTATTATAGAGTTCTAAATCGAAGATTCACTTTTGCCCCTCGGCACTTGATATTGATATTGATATGGGAATTTGATAGTGGTTTTGAAAATTGTATTTTTTTTTTTTTTTTTTTTTTTTTTTTTTTTTTTTGCCGCAATGTACGTACGTACGTACGTACTTAAATAATTGGTTATTGTTATTCATTATATACAATTGTATTTATATACATTTTTATTTATTAAAAAAATTATGCTATGTACTGCGGAGATCCGGCAATATATGTGGTTACCATTAGCAATGTTACCCCAGATTACTTTTATATTGAACCAAAAATATACGTTTCACACGGCTTCAACAATATAAATGCATTAAATGCTTAACTATCATCACATGGTTTGGGCTATCCCGAAAAGTTTGAGTAACATCGCAGAAAATAATTTATTTCACAGCCAATTGATAATGATATATAATATATATAATGTAGTTATTGTATCAGCATATATTTGTATAAACTACGTCATTTGATCGCCTTCTCCTTGTTTATTGAAAAAAATGTGTGAATTATTAATTTCAAATTGAAAGAAATGTCATTTTGTTGAAGACGCAAGAATTAAAAATTCGTAATAAATGCATTTAAAACAAAAAATCCTAAAAAAACAAAACAAATTTTGTCATAAAGGTCACAATTCCCATTATAGTAACTAATAAAAAGAAATTGTATTACTAAACTCACGCCAAACACATCACAATTGTCTAAAAAAGTAATCATGTGAGGTCTTGCGATTTCCTTTTATTTCCGACTTCCTTTTCTTTAATAAATATTTCTTGTAAATGAATGACTTAAATTATAGTTGATCGTTTTTTACCTGCCACAAAAAAAAAGATAGGGCGAGATAAAAAAAATGATATTTTTCCAATCCTTTTAAATAATACATCACCTTATTCGTTTAGAAATTTTAAAACATGAAATTCAGCAAAACCTTAGAGAGTAGTCTGGATAAATTCCCCCCAGACTGGAAACCATTCCTTATTCAATACAAAACTCTTAAAAGATGCATCAAAGCAATTGTTCAAGAACTAAATGCTAAAGGCGTACTTCAAATTATGGCTAACGAAGGCTACAGAATTGAGTATAGTTTTGAATGTTACAAGCCTGAATGTACCTTCGAAGGTTTGTTTAGAAAAATAGCATATTATAAGTCATAAGTCGAATAGGTAATAAAGTTCCACTTATTTTCGAATATAGACGGCCCAGTTTGTGTTCGTCCATGTGTTAAAGTCTGCCCAAACTGCTACGGACGCGCTTCTGAAGAACCCTTGCATGTTAAGAAATATGATTCGATTTCATCTTTGCCATTAAACCTTCCGAACAATAATAATATGGAGTTATCCCCTTTGGTAGACTATAAAGCATCTTACATGATAAAAAATTTAAATCAGCTTTCTAGGTTATTGTTATAACAATTTCTATATCAATACTATTTGTCACGATGATTATAATGGTTTCTAAATTATTTCTAATAATAGGACATTACACATCGAACTTGAAACTGACGGTGAATTTTTTATTACGCTTTTGAAAGAGATTTATCAACTAAATTGTCTTCAAAAGCGTAATCAAGAAAAGTTTCTCGCTAGCCTACAAAACCTAAAAGAATTGTTGATTGAAGTTGTAAGTTGCTAATTTTAGTTAGTTCGAATCAAAGACTAAATTTACTTAAAGTTACTATATATATACTTTTAAATAGACATCACCCTTTAAGAATGATATGTATACTTGGCGCAAAATATTTCAAATTTATACAGAAAACAATATTTTCGTTGGAAATACCGAATCTGATAGAGAAGAAAGAGATTGGAAATTCTCTCAAAATCAATTAACCTTTTTCATTGATAGAATTAACAAATCTCATTTGGTAAATTTATATTTTCTGAAAATAGTTTAGACATTGCATAAAAAAAAATTGCACGCCATTCAATAATATTTTCATATAGGTTAAAAAGTTGAAACACCCGTTATCCAAAACTACTTTTGAGATATTTTTGAAGGTACGTACACGCAATGATCACATATATCACATATATCACGTGAAGATGGTCTTAACACTTAACATTTTATTCAAAATGATGTAATAGCTTAATCATAGTCTTGTTTCAATGAAACAATTTCAAGACATTAACCAAGAGGCGACGTCAAAAATCATTAAGAAGCATGACAAGAAAACATCTCTAGCGTAAGCTTTGCTAACTATATCGATCTAATAATAATAATTACAATTGCAAATAAACCAAACTAAATTATTGGTCTTTCTCAGTTCTTATTCAAACTTCCAAGATTTAATAGAGAAGTATTCGCTTCTCTCGAAGAATGAGTTCAAATCTCTCTGCTATGAAATGGTATACGTGTATTCAAGAAAATATTCAAGAAAATATTTATTTTAATAATATTGTTTGACTAATATAAATTTGTATAAATAGGGGCAATTAACGACCATTATTCCTCAACTCGACGATTATAACTGTCCTATCTGCTTAAGTGAGTTTTTTTAAAAACCTTCCCTAAATTATTATTTTTTTTGACAAAAACATTTTTGACGCATGTCAAAATAAATTATTTTAATAGATATCGCCTGGAAACCTATTCGTCTTTGTTGCATGCACATATTCTGTGTTAGATGTCTGGTCAAATCTGGACGTAAAAGTATGCGCAATTGTCCAGTTTGTCGGGCAAAGGATGCTTTGCACAATGTTGAACCAAGTATGTACAGGACAAGTATTCACTTATTTAGCTATCGAGACGTTACTTTTCTTTGATAATTCAATAACGAAATGATTCGAATGATTTTATTAGGTAACTTGGACGTATGTTTGATGAATTTCTTGGAACTTTACTTCCCAAAAGAAGTTCACAAAAAACAAAAAGACGACGACCGAGAACGAGTTGCTGAAGAAATGGAAGCCATAACAGGCTTAAGAATCGATGAAAGAGAAGCATGCGTATTGTTATGAATATTGAATACTCTACACTAGGATAATAGAATCAACTTTGAAAAACTCTTAATAATTTTTTCATTGTTATTTCTACTTTGATATTTTAGTACGAACTATTTTTGTTCAACATTCTATAAATACCGTGCTATGATCACATCATTTATCAAATCCATGGGTACTTTCTATTACAAACTATACGCACTAATATATTTTTTTATATGAACGTCAATGGTGTCCCGAGGCAACCTCGCCAAAGGGTATTTAAAAAAAAATTTTTTTTTTTTTGTATTTTTATTTATGTGTATTTTATTATGTTTATCATCATTATTATGCTATGTATTTATACATTTCTATGCGTGTACTATTGTTAATGGGGGTTTCATATGTAAAATTTACAATTAAATAAATTTTCATTATTTATTATTTATGCTATTATTTAAAGCGGGCTTGCAATCTGCTACGTACGTAGATTTTGTTAGTATATTTATACTCATAATGCATTTAAGATTCTCATGGCACGTGAGAGTCGTACGCAACTTATATCTCCACATTGTGGCTTTAAAGCGATGGCTTGTTCATATTATCCATGAGAGCTCTAGAAAAGTAATCCGATGTTCACTTCGAATATGTACAGTACATATTAGATAACGGTTATTTAGGAGGTTTTAATGGACAATACAAATATAAGCCATGGCTTTCATTGAATTACGTATTAAACTTGTTAATGATCATCAATTCCTTTTTTTTATTAATGGTGATCAATTCTACAATTGTTGGTTTTAAGTAGTATAGTATCA